CCGTGGACGGGGCCGCTCGATGGCTGGGCACGCGTGCCGCTGCGCTCCGCGTACTTCCCGCGCTATCACGCCGGTCTCACGGTGGCGCAGATGATCCGCGAGACAAACCGCATCACGCGGCGCGCCGCCAGGTACCACGTACGCGGCGACCACGCACGCGCAGAGGAGCTCTACGACGAGGCGGACGCGCGCCGCGCGGATATCGAGAGTCGCGGCGTTGAGCTGAAGGAGCGCGACTGCCGCAGCTGGCGCAGGCTGCAGACGCAGACACAGTCCGGCACGACGCGCAAGCTGCAACGTAAGACGTAGCGGGTGGAGATTTGTGGGATCGCGGGCTAGTCGAATGCCGGAGGGCGCGGTGCTGGAAAGAAGAGATGGACGAAATGGAGTGAGGAAGCGCATANCATAGTCACACGTGGCGGCGGTGGGGGCACAAATGGTGCGATCAACGGGGGCCAGGGAACGGCGTGTGCGAGGAGCGGGGAAGGGTGTGGCGCGGCTGTGCAGGGCGATGGTGGCGGGAGAGGGCGGCGACGCACGATGTGTCCCCCGTGGCGGCCGTCATGGTGCCGTGTAGACTGCCGGCCCGCACAGCGCCACCACCAGCAGTGACCGCAACTGCAACAGTACGTTGTGGTGGTGGTGGTGGTGTGTGGCGGGTGACTTGCCCCAGTCCCAGAACGACGCCAACGTGACGGGAGTAGAGAAATGATCATTCGTATTATTGTTGCCAGTGCTGCTACAGGCGCTGTTGTCGTTTCACTCCTTCCCCCTCTTCCTCCTCACTTAGCATGTGTTTATATTTATATTTATATATATATATATATATATATATTCTAACTCACTTATTTACGTTCCCTCTCTGGCTTGTTTTTGTTTGGTTTTTTTTTTGTGTGTTGATGCACCTCTCTCTCTCTCTCGTGCCCAGGAGGGCACTCGGTGCGTTTTGTGTCAGTAACGCCGTCGCGGCCGCGTCTGTTGCGTGAGTCGCTAACGGCTGCAGAGAGTGTGTGAGAGAGAGAGAGAGAGAAGAGTCAGAGGAAGAGGGGAGGGAATAAGTAGGCAGTGAGTGAGAGTTTAATGGTGACGAATAGAGAAGCGGGGTGGGAAGGAAAGCGATGCTCACAGCATTAACGTTGAAGCGTGGGAGACACAGGGGAAGAACGGCAATGTAAACAGGCCCCACGGACAATAATAACAGTGACGCAATGCCGAAGGGGACTCACATGCACACGTGTGTTGTGGGTAGGTTCATGTATCTTTTGTCTTTAATTTGTGTGTCTCTATTGTCGCATTGTTTGGGCGCTGTCGTTGAGACGGCGCGCGTGGGTGTCTGTGTGTGATTCTTTCCTGCACGCGATGGACTGCAACACCTGCGCTTCTTCTCTGGTGGCTGGGGGGGCGAGTGGAGCAGCGGGAATACGCACCACACACTCACAGCTACTCCTGTTTTTTTTTTCTGTTCTGTAGTCATCCACGCAGCCGGCAGCAGCGGAAATGGGCATGCAGGTGGTGGTGAAGAACATCGGTGCGGCCTTCTCCGTCGCGGTCATCCCTGTGCTGAAGGACAACTACACGTACATCATTCACGACAACACAACCAACACGATGGCGGCCGTGGACGTCTCCACTGACGTCGCGCCCGTCGTGGACTACGT